CACCATCACCATCACCATCACCATCACCATCACCATCACCATCACCATCGAAGAAACAAAATATCCAAAAAAGCTTTGAGGACACAAAAACCTCACCATTCTAATATTCCTGTTTCTAGTTCCTATTTACCTGTCCTATAGCGTGTTTTTCCAGCGCCAAGACTCGTTCGGGTATCTTCTTGTTGGCTGAGTTACCATGTCCAAGTCTACCATAATCACCATTACCGAATGTGAAAAGCTTGCCGTCAGCAGTTACTACCGCCGAGTGCTTGAACCCACAAGATAACTGAAAGACAACCAAAGCATTCCTATAGACCCCTTGTATGCGTGCATTGCCGCCATCTTGGTTGATGATAACCAATCATTCCTCATTAGCTTCTCTTGTTAGATCAACCAAGATGGCGGCTGTTTCGTTGTTATTCATATCTTAAGGGATTTTGAGTCACATGGTTGCACAACCTCTATAGATCCCTTGCTTGTCTAAGGAGTTCAAATTGGAGGACAAAACAAAATAATTTCAATCTCCTGAGAATTGGAAATCTATTGTTTTGTCATCCAAATTGAGCTGCATTCCGACGTACTGCAAGGGATCTATTGCTGGTTTTCAATCATTTCCAAGGAAGTGCAAGGAAGTGCAAGGAAGTGCAAGGGAGCACATTAAAATTTTGTTTGTGTAAGGAAAGTCATTTTTCTTGGTTGATCTATCTAGCGCGCGCAATCCATCTTGTGACAGGCGTTCCTCGTAGTGTTTTGGTTTCGGCCGATCCGAATGGCTTACGATCGTGTAAGGAAGGGAATGACGCTCCTCGCAAGATATTCGTCGGTTTTCGGAGTAAATTCGCTAGCCCGACTAAAGCAAGGAATGCCTGCCATGAAGTGTAGCGCGCGCACGTAAACAAGAACTACAAGGAACGCCTGCTATATCTTAGAATACGGGCGATAAAATCGAAGATAAACCAACACAATCAAAATTTTAACGTGCTCCCTTGGGAAGTGTAATAACTAAAGACACTGCGATATGACAAAAGAATTCATTGATACGTCTTTTGTTAATTCAACCGAGATGGCGGCTGTTACGTCATGTGCAAACGAAGTCGACTCATAATCACTGGTTGCTCGACCAATCACAGCGCGCGAAACTCTTTATCTAAATCTAAAATTATGCTAGCATGTATGTGTTACTTACATTGATAACCTCTTCTCCTCTAAGCGCCTCTATCTGCCGTGGTCGTCTCTGCCTATCACTGTTACCGTGCCCTAGTTTACCATAATCACCGTCACCCCAGCTAAACACTTCAGCACTGTCTGTTAGAGCTAGCGAGTGACCATCAGAACCACACGACGTGGCTAACTGTATTACTACGTACCCTGGTAAGAGAATAACAAACAGAAGAATGACAAACAATGGGGGAAATGGAATAGATGAAAATGGGAAAAGACTATTTAACGTTTTAAGTTAGAAATGAATTTGATAATCTTCTTAATAGTCATAATAATGAAGTAGAAATACAAAACCAACAAGTTCTATAGTTGTGAAAAAATAAATAAATGAAAGGTAAAAAGAACTGATTTTTACAATCATTATCAAACAGACAAAAAAAGACAGACAGACAGAAAGAAAGAAAGACAGACACAAGGACAGACAGACAGACAAACATAAGGACAGACAGACAGACAGATGGACAAACAAACAGACGGACGGATGAACAAATAGAAAGACAGACAGACACAAGGACTGAAAGACACAAGGACAGACAGACAGACACATGGACAACAAACAGGCGGACGGATGGACAAATAGAAAGACAGACAGACACAAGGACAGACAGACACAAGGACTGAAAGACACAAGGACAGACAGACCGACAGATAGACAGGCACATACCTTGTAAAGGAGCAATAGGAGTCAACACCAGCAGATCATCAGAGTTCCCCATCCCCAGGCGACCATAACTGCCCTCTCCACACGCCAGTATAGTTCCATTGCTCTGCAACACAAACGTGCAGTTTTGGCCACACACGATTTGCTGCGCACTAGAGAAAGACTTGGTAACAGTAGGTACATTAACACCTCGGCCTGTCTCGGCTAATTGACCATGACGTCCCCCACCCCACAGGTATGCGTCACATTTTCCACCAGTCTCCCAATGCTCGGGTCGTTTCATGGCCCACGTCATGACTTGTTCGTCCATTACAAGACTCCAGGCGGTGTTGTCCTAGAAAATCAATGCATTATATTCATTATATGACCTGCAATTTACGAGTGCATATTTTTAGATTGCACGTCACGTAATCGCGGCCATGTTGGTGTCGTGTCGTGATTTCCCATTAATATCCATTGTTAATCACACCAAAATGGCCTAATTCCAATTCGATCTGTGAGTTAGCCATGCCTTGACTTACATCAGTCCAGAGGTTGTTTCAGGGTTCGATCTGTGAGTTAGCCGTGCCCTGAATTTGATCAGCCCAGAGGTTGTTTTAGGGTTCAATCTGTGAGTTAGCCATGCCCTGAATTACATCAGCCCAGAGGTTGTCTCAGGGTTTGATCTGTGAGTTAGCCTTGCCCTGAATTAGATCAGCCCAGAGGTTGTTTCGGGGTTTGATAATGTTTTTAGAGGGTAGAGAAGGGTGTAGAGAAGTAATATAAACAACACATTACCATTGGTTGATAAGGCTCATCTTCACTGATCTTCTCCTCATTCGGTACAACAAAACTCTTATGGAACACGTCCCTAAAAGTCAGCGCATCCGCTGCCCGTACAGCCACGCAGAACGCCTTGAGCCAGGACCATTCTGGTAGGGCGGTGGCATCTGTACCATTACTTGCTGGGGTCAGACTTGTACACAAGCTATGGCATATCACGTGATCAAGGTCTAGCGCTACTGTTAACGCGGATAAGGACTGGAGGAAAGGACTGTGGACGAGCTGATCTCCTCGACTCAGAATCCCCTAAAGGGTCAAGATAATATAAACAAATTATATAGAGCATCTCACAAGAACATACGATAGTGCGAATGCTTTAAAACAAATGTGTAGTCGTACTGCATGTTTTTGTAACCGTAACTACGCGTTGTGAYTGAATGAATTACTGGCAGACAATGGAAGCCATTTCAATGTTACGGCATGTCGTACCGTGTAACTACTGTAAGTCAGTATCGTAGGTTTCCCACTCATACAATAACCATTCTTATGGGAAGCCATTTCAATGTTACGGCATGTCGTAACGTGCTGTAAGTCAGTACCCTAGGTTTCCCACTCATACGATAACCATTCTTATGGGAAGCCATTTCAATGTTACGGTATGTCGTAACGTGCTGTAAGTCAGTACCCTAGGTTTCCCACTCATACGTTAACCATTCTTATGGGAAGCCATTTCAATGTCACGACATGTCGTAACGTGTACGTGCTGTAAGTCAGTAACGTAGGTTTCCCACTCATACGATAACCATTCTTATGAAAAGCCATATCAATGTCTGCATGTCGTATCGTGCGTTCTGTAAGCCAGTACTGCAGCAATAGCATTAAAAACCTTTGTCCCTTACCTTTTCGTAGGTGTACTGTTCTTGCATGATGTTGGGTAGCCTTTCTAAAAGTACTCTGAAGCAAGCAGACTCACTCAGTCCCATTATGCCTTGCATTCTCAACTTGTCTCGTGCCCAGGCTACTATCCTATGCTTTCTATACCAGTCCGCGTTGAATTTCAAAAGAACTGGGTCCTAGAAAAAAGTTGTCATTAGATTTCCGGAGCGGGAGATAGGCCGCTTAACCTTGGACATTAGACGTAAAACTAAATACCTTGGAGTCCTTGAATGAAGCTGTTACGCCATTATCACCAGTCCATGTCATACTTAATACTGAGCCATTATCTTTGTAGGTTTGACCAACTACACCGTCCTGGGGTATACAAAATACTTAGTAAACAACGAAAGAATGGCTAATGTCTGTGTTGAAACATGGCAAAAAAATAGATAGTTATAAGTAGCGCTCGTATTATTTAAATCCTGGCATTTCAGTCAGCGCGCCAAGCTAATGACTTTTGTTGCGCTGATGGCTCAAGTTGAACGTCCACACTGATTATCTAAATATCTATCGTTGATATAACAGAGACAACTTTCGGTGATATATAGTTAAAATGAATCAAAAATGACAAAAGAGAAGKTATTCGACACATCACTAAGAGCTTTGTTGTTACTTACCTGCACAGACCAGATATTAACGAGGCCTTTCTCACAACACGACGCCAAGAAGACACCCGAAGGACAGAACGACAGGGACGACACCAGCCCTTCGTGTCCCTTGATTTCAAACAGGCAGATGTAGGTTCGATATGAATTACCATGATACGAGGATGCATCACACAGTAGACCCCGCTGGAGCCCTGATATATTGGAATTAGTCTTACCAATAGCTTCGAGGATATCACTAAAGATATACACTCGAGACCATCGGTCTCCTTTGGTGTCCGATGTAGATGTTTTTATCTGGATGGAGCTCCTCTTAGAGTTTGTTTGGTCCTCGATGCGAGCTGGTTCGCTAGTGCGCATGACTGGACTTTCGGATCCCACACGGCGAAAGTTGAGCATCAACTTCTTGAGAGTATCTGGATCGAATGGACGAGGGACCTTGTAGACACTGACCGTTCCGTCTGTGCCACCACTGGGAAGAAAATAAAAAATTCCATGTTTTTACAATGAAGTAGTTTTCTTAATTGAAACTTTCGTATCAACAGGAAAAAATTTCACGACTCGTGGATGAGTAATATGGAGAATGGAGCAACTTACAGTGCAAGAGCACGGACGCTGCAGTCTCTGTCCTGGAGTTTAAACCAACAGAAGCTGGACACTGGGGCGCTTGATAACTCAAAGATATGACGTAGAATCACTCCGTCATCTACCTCGTACCATATCTGAAAAGAAATGAACGAAAGAGTAGATAAATACATGACCAAAGAAAGAGATGGAGGAGGAAAAGAAAGGAGGGAGGATTAAAGAGGGCGGGAGGGAGG